TATATATATATATATATAGGGCTAGGTTATAATGTGGATAAACAACTATTGTGCGGACGTGTGGACAATGTTATTCTATGAGAATTACTAAGAAAATAGATTGTTTGCTAATGTGAATACGTTCACCCTTACACAACTATCGTCATTTTCATGCATTTTCACTAATTCTTATTCATTTTTGTTCTCATGCATCGTTTTTTACTCATTTTCATTCTTACAGAATACGACTCAATAAACATTCTGACAACATTTTGACAATGAGAACAATAAAAAAAAAGGTCTATAATTGTAACGTTCTGTTTCGAATCGTTTCCCATTTCGGGGTGGTGATCAAGAATTGGGTATTAGCAGACTTAGGGCCCTTGAAGAAAGTTTTAGACCCATTTGGATGTGGGTAATGTTGGTCATGTGATGAAAGAGTTCAGTTTGTGTTTTAGAGCCCAAGGGTATCGGTAAAGCCGTTGGTTCGGGCCTTTTATGAATTTTGGATTCAATTTCGGTTGGTTTTCAGACTAAATAAAGTTTATAGAAGTGTGGGGCTTCTCGTTACCTTTCTGTGGATATAAAGAACGTCGAAAACGGATAAGGGATGCAAAAGTTATGATCATTTAAAGTTAGAGGGTTTGGACCAAACCGGGTACGCATGGCGTACACGGAAATTTGGACGCGGGAGCATTTAGGAACGCCCTGCGTTCCCCAAGGGAACGCGCAACGTTCGTCAGGCCATATTAAAACCCTAATTTAGGGTCTTGGACCCTATTTAAAGACCTTAACGCACCTCCATCCCTCATTTCCTTCAGCCTCCATCCTCTCTAACCCTAAGAACGAAACCCTAGCCTCCATTTGAGTATTTCTTGAGCTTTATTGTGGTTTAAGTGTGTTTTGGTTCTTGAGGAAGAAGAAGGAGTTTCTTGAAGATTCATAGATTGGTTTGGAGCTTTTGGAACCAAGCTTTATTCAGATAGATCTAGCCTTTGGAGGTGTAAAGTCCTATGGTTTTCTCATATGGATTTACTTGGGTCTTGAGTTGTTATGTTTTTTGTACCTTGAAGAAGAAGAAACTTGGTAATCAATCCTTGGTTGGAGTTGAGCTTCTAGATCAAGATTCTTCATCACAATTGCAAGCCACTAAAGGTATAAAGTTCTCATCTTGATGCTTCTTTATCATAAGATCTAAGTTAGGGCTTGAATTATGCATGTTATGGTCTTTTGAGGCTCTTTGTGAGTTTGGGTCACTCCAAGAGCCTATGATTGTAGATCTTGCCTTTTCTGAGTTGGATTTGATATAAAGTTGGAGTCTTGATGCATTAAGTCCTCCCATGCTTGAGTTATTGGTCACTTTGTGAAGTTTAAGTGCTTGAAATCATGATTGGACCTTTTTAAGCCATGCAAAGGCTTAAAGCCTTTGACTTTATGGATTAAGTCTCCGAGGTTATGCTATTCAGAATTTTGGACATCATGGCTTAAAGTATTAAAGCCTTGGAATGAATTTTTGGTCAAAGGTCGGGAACGCAGCGCGTTCATCTCGGGAATGCGGCGCGTTCGTCTCATCAGTGGGCTTTTGGTCTTTGACTCTTTTGGAATGGGCTTCAGTTGGGATGGCTGTTTCTTTAGGCTATGAAGTATTTGTTTGGGCCCTGGTTGGGCCTCAGGACTTTGAGTGGGCCTTAGGTTGATTTGGGCCTCGAGTTGTGTTGTTGGTCCATTAGTGGGCCTTGGGCCAAGTTTGGGTTGGGCCCATTAAGGAAAGGGTAAAATGGTCTTTTACCCTAGGAATCGGGACTTATGAGTTAAGACCACAGTTAATGGATTATGGCATAATTATTAATTGTGATTTATTTGTTGTTAGTGGGGGATTTTCGATTCGGCAGCAGAGTGTTATTTGATTAACAGCGGATCGAGGTGAGTCTCCTCACTATGTTTAGCGGATCGAAGGCACCAATGTCGGCCCATAGTTTATTATGTTAGGATGATAGTTGTATGCGTGACTCTTGCATGTGTATGTATTAGTATGTATGCTGGGCGGGGCCCGATGGTTATTCTGTATGCTAGTATCAGGTTATGCATATATGATTTGTATGTGGGCGGGGCCCGATGATTGTACAATATGCTATTATCTTTGTGATTTTCGCATGTGTTGAATGTTTATATGATTATATGGTTATGTGAGTGTGGGTTGGGCCCGTTATGCGAGTGTGGGCAGGGCCCGTATCTCAGTTGAGTGTGGGCGGAGCTCGTTATGTGCTTAATTATGTATGGTATGAGGTATCTTGGGGAACTCACTAAACTTTGTGCTTACGGTTTTCAGTTTATGATTCAAGTACTTTGGTTTTCAAATGGAAGAGCTTGGGATGATTGCAGAGCACACACCACATGTTTCCACATTCTGTGAATTACTTTGATTTGATGATGTTTTGTTGAATCTTAAATACCTTTGTTATTCTCACAGAGTATCAAAACAAACGAAGGCTTCTTAATCGATTTTTCTCTTATCCTAAACCTCCCTACACATAACTAATTAAAGGAAGGCTTCAATGTTTGTTTTGGTACCACTTGTTATCAATAGGTGTGAAAACTCTTGTGGTAAAAAACCACATTCAACCATAACATAAAAGTAAACAGTAAGTTGGCCTAGTCTCTGTCTAGACGGTTCTTGGGTCTACCACTTTTCTTGTACATAAAATTGATTAGAAAGATGGATATTAGTATATATAATATCGATAATAGGGTTATATAAAATCGATAATAGGGAAAAGGGAGGAAAATAAAAAGAATGACTAAAACATGACTATAAAGACTTTATTAATGTCATGTACAAAGTTCCTAAAATTCTTTAAAAAAAAATAATAATTTCATAAAATTAGATAACTTGGAAATAATGTCACGCAGAATGAAGAGTAACCAACAACCCCAAAGCACTAAGGGGAATTGCTTAGCCGGTCAAAAAAGAGCACCCTTTTGGCCTTTTAGAATATTTGTTTTATTTGTTTTGAAAAAAATGTTTGTTGTGCATGTGAAATGTCAAAATTGGAGCTTTTAGACGTGAGGGAATGGTGCCATAAGAACTGCACTCCCTCCTCTGACACATAGGTGTCACATCATTTATACCACACGAAGTGTGGTTTTTTGTCACACACTAGATGTGGGAATTATGAGAGAGAGAGAGAGAGAGAGAGAGAGGAAGAAGAAGAAGGTGTGCGGCCAAAAAGAGGAGAGGTGCAGCCAAACCACACCCAATACCGAATAGGGTGGCGGTGTTCCCTGCCTACGTGGCAAAGAGTGCGGTCAAACCGCATACCATTCCCTTTAGTCTTAGAAGATCCATTTGATGAGTTGTTTGGATATATGGACAGTTGGACACGAAATCCATTGGCCATTGCATCAGATCTTGATTTGATGGAGATTGTGGTAGGATTTGAGTATTTGACTTTGTCCATTACAAAGCGGACCAAATTTGAACACGTTGGATGTTTTATTTAAATGAATATAAATTTGAGAAGTTGATCATTAAATAAGAACA